ACTCATGATTTCACTGAGAGCAAGTCATGTAGTGTGAACTGCACAGTTCAGCCCGACGCTTTAAAATCATGTAGCGTGAACAAGGCTTTACATGTTTCTCGGCTTGACTGTTAAAAGCAGACGATTGTTTTTCCAGCGAGAGGGGCGGAGCATGTCCACAACCACCATCTTTGGCGTTACAGGTTTTACCTATAAAGTTGTATTGAGGCTTGAGGAAGTGGCTTGTCTATATAAATTGTCTCTGATTTAACCAAATGGTTAAAAAAAAATGTGAATGGAAGTCAAAATGATGACTTTAACAGCTAACAACCTTTAAAATGCCCTAGTAATACAGTAACTGCACCAACACTGAATCAGAGCAGACTGGCTCAGTCTTTTAATTAATTTTAATATCACTTTTCACACTTAGCTATCTCTTAATTTTGTCACTAGAAGTGTCACTGAATTTTCAACACTAAATAACATTAAAAAAAACTGACAACTTTTAAATTGCCCTAGGATTAAAAAAAATGCAGTAACTACACCAACAAAACACTGGAACTGAGCAGATTGGCTCAGTTTTTTTTTTTTTTTTTTTGATTGACTTTGATTTGATATTAATTTTTAAACATTTTTCTCTAAGCATAGTCGAACCTAGCCCATCTGTTACAGTCAATCATAGTTTAAGAGACTTGTTTTCAGTCATAATTCAACTGGCAAAATGTTACTGTTTTTCTTTTGTAGGGCAGTAAAATGCAGTGTTTTTCCATGCTCAAACTACTGTTATATTTAATACGGACGCTAAAGTCCTGAACACACCCAGCTCTCTCCCAAAGACACGAGCCATTTAGAGTTTTCGTGGAAATGTTTGCAAACGGCTTACTTGGATATCTGCATATTAAGCAGGGATAAAAGATGGCATTTTAACACTGAACGAAGAAAAATACAGTTTAAGCACCAAACTCATAAAAAAAGAAAAAAAAAGCAGTAGGCTAGTGGAAATTGTACATAACATCTCATATTTTAACAGTATGTAAATGTCACTACAGCCGAAACCATGCCGTTTTAGTGCAATTTTTACCAACCAACCGCATTCATGCTCCAGGGAGCCTGAGCTTGTGTTGTAAGTTTTGAGTGAAGAGTTGAAAGATCGTTAGCATAAATCATTCGCTACGTTAAGGGTTGTTGGTGATGTAGTTGCACTTATGCTCTACATTGCCCCACACCACCCAAATGCTCCAGATGGGGACAAAGTTTATGCAGATTGGCTCATTAACCTCACTGTGCTGATCTCTCAACAGTAATGGCACACGCAGCATGCTGGGGCTTCAATAATCCATCTCAACATCCTCTCCACACAACAGATTACAGTGTGGATTCCACATACCCTGGCTCTGGAAATAGCAATGGTTCAAGATGGAGTCTACATATGTGAGCGCACATGCTCAAGCGCACCCAGTGTTAGAGAACAAAAAAAAAAAAAAAGAAAAAAAAAGAAGGCGTCTTAACAGCTGGTGTCACATTCCCCCTGAGGTGTTTCCGTTAATTTTAGTTCCTCAGACAGAATGGATGAACATCTCTTTGAAGTGTGGCCCATTCTGGAATATTTCTTTCAAAGCACCACAACCACACATGGAGGTGCATTGTCTGTGTGTGTGTGTGTGTGTGTGTGTGTGTGTGTTTTGTTGAGACTTGGAATGGGCGTGTTTTCCATTCTCCGGATTTTAGAGCTGCCTTGACATCTGTACTGTACGTCTGAAATGATTGTTGAATGGTGACTGCTTGACACTGTTTGCAATGAATGCCCACATTTATGCCGCCGAAAAACACATTTGAACAAAACATCGTCTTTCGTTTTTCAATTGAAAAGCAGTCACTGTGCTTACCTTCTGCAAGGGTTCTTTGATATATGGGAGATTTATAAGAAAGCTGTGCCCAAACTATTGCTTTATAATATTGTAACACTCTAAAAAATGCTGGGTTGTTTTAACCCAACTTTGGGTCAAATATGGACAAACCTAGCCATTGGGTTAATTTTTTTAATGACATTTGGGTTTGTCCATATTTCACCCACAGTTGGGTTAAAACAACCCAGCATTTTTGGAGTGTAGTAACAGTAATCTTTCAGATTTCATATGGTAGCGCTGCAAGGCTGAATTTTCAACAGCCGGTCCTCCAGTCTTCAATGTCAAAATTCATTCAATGCAGATTTGGTGCTCAAGAAACATTTCTTATTTTAATCTTGAAAACAGCTGAGCAGCTTAATATGTTTTTGGTGGAAACCGTGATTGAAAAAATGTTCAGGCTTCTTTGATTAATGGAAATTTCAAAAGAAAAGCATTTATTTAAAAATCTTTTGTAACATTATAAGTGTCTTCACTTGATCCATTTTACCCTTTCTGAAAAAACAACAATGTTCTGCACCCAAATTTTTGAAAGGTGTTGTGTTTGAGATATACTTTTATCATGTCTTGTTTGAACTTCAAAACATATTACACAATTATGTAGCCAGTTTCAAAGAAACATTGAGACATGCTCAACAAAAAAGCATGTAGGAGCCACTTAACAGAAATAAAAAATATGCCACCAATATTTTCACTTGAGATGAAGTGAGCAAGAGATCGTAGCAACAGTGGCACACTCATATCTATAACTTACAAATTATATCTAACTAGCTCTAAAAATATTCAAATGGTGTCTTATATTTTATAAACGTTTCAATGCATTGGGCATAAAACATTAAACCAATTGACATTTGCAACAAAATGGGTTTCTCTCAGAACTAACTTTACTCTTCAGAAATATTTTTGCAGTTAAACTGAAAAATAGCTTTGAAACAATTTTCACTCAGAAATTGAGTAAATATAACAAAGAATTACAAAGAAATGGCAATTTTACAGTAAAAAAACCTGAATTTTATTTTCTCGTAAAACAAGCTCCAATAGAGTTCAATACTGTCGAAAAATCCTTTTTTACGATCTACTTTTCGCTTCGGAAATTCCAATTTGATTTTAAATAGTATATTGTTTGCTTTTTTTTTTTTTTAAATGGTGAAATGTTGTGTGTTTGAGCTGTTATTTAGCTGTAATGTAAATTTGCACTTGACATTTTGTTGTCTATTGCAATGACATTCATACAGACACAATGACATCATTAAATGTTCAAATATTTTCTTAGGCCCATGTATCTTAACCGGCAGACATACCTGGCTTTAAAAATATCTGTATTTGAGTGTTATTTTGTGTGTGTGTGCCCTTTTTAGAATTCTTTCTGTCTGTTTGGGCCCTGTTTGTGAGTAAGAGGAAGAGAAAGAGAGAGACAGTGGAAGAGAGGAGGGGTTGTTCTCTCCAGACGCCCGTTGCTGTTGATCATTATGTCTGTGTTCAGGTGTCTTTGAGGGTGGCAGTAGGTGGAGATAACCCAGGAGACAGACAAAGAAGGTAGGGTGTGTGTGTGTGTGTGTGTGTGTTGGGGGAGGGGTTACTTTCCGGTACAGATATAATCACAGCCTGTTATATATTTAACAGTCGCCTCTCTCAGTCTGTTGCGGCTTTCCGTGACCTTACTTTATCTCACTGCAGACCAGAACGGCAACAAACAGATTTAATATATTGCAATTAGACACATCTGGATCCTGTCAGCAACACCAGACAGATTTCAGTGATCAGCTGTGTACTTCTATTTCCAGTGTACTTCTGTCTGAACTGGGCTTTTCTACTTTTTTCTTTTAAACAGTGACTTGTCTACACAAAACACATCAACTGCTGTAGTTAATAAGTACCATTTACTGTACTGTATAACTGAAAAAAGTGCAGAGAACAATGAAACTGAAACCGAGATTAAAGGTAATTATGCACATTTAACTTGTCACTGAGCCAAGTTTATCTTCAGCCCACGTACAAGCATCAGCAATTGAATCTAATGATGCAGTGGTGATATTGAGAGTTTGGACGCTGAGATAACTCACACCAGTTTGTGTGCTGACAACGAAAAGCAGCCAAACACTCTTGAAAAGGTGAAATCCAGGTGATCTGGATCAAGACGTTTAAAGAACTAGAAATATCATGTCCGAGCAGACGGGGAAGGTTGTAACGCTTTCCAATACCAAAGATTGCACGAAATGTGGCAGTGCATTGGTTTCCCATTTTATTTGCTGTTTTGAGTCGAAATGCACTTTTTCAATTATTTATACAAGTCACAACAGACAAGTCAGTTTCGTTGCCACAATAAATTAATGCACATAATTTAAAACATCATTCAATTGGTATTGCAGCCCACTCTGGTAGTGGTTTAGACTGTAACAATAGCACTCTTTGTATATGACATGAATTGTTACACAGTATTGTAGATTTTTAAACTACTTTAATTTGTTACAGACAGATTCAAGAATATTATATCAAAAATTGAGATACATAGTGCAATATATATATAAACCCCCCAGTGAACTGCATGGATTATTATTCACAAAAGAAAAAAATATATATCTTTTTTTTTCTTTTTACTTCAACACAACAACAATATAATTTATTTCCAATTTTTTTAATGATCGTGTAAGGTTAGATGAGATTATTGCAATAAAATGCAAATATTCCAGTGGTGTTGGTGCAAATATATATTCAAAAAACAATAAAATATAATGAGACTGGTTAAATATAATGGCCTTGAGGATAAAAGTGGTTTTTAAAAAAGAAATTTGCATTTGTGTAGCTATATCTTGATTCAGAATTATATAAACAGAAGCTTATGATTTATTTGTAATTTATATATAAAATGTAGTAATTTATTCTGATAAATAGCCTAAATACAAATACATAAACATCTGAATAAATAGCAATATATATATATTTTTAAAGTCTTGCAGAAATTGATCCATCAAACTGCAGATATAGCACTTTTATGAATAAGTTATTGGTGACACAGTTCCTATTTCATGCGCAGCTGCTACCTACAGCTTTTACCCTTAATTCATGACCAATATCTTCAACTTTTGCATTGTGAGAGCAAAGTGAAGGCTTACATACCTTCTTTAGAATCTTAAGAAGACGTGAAGGAAGACATTCCACGTAAGGAGCATTTGTATCGCTTCGGAAATGTCCTCGGATCCTCCAGCTGGTTGGATCTGCGCCGGTCAGTCACCGCTGAATCGCTGTAGTTCCACTCGCACTCTGAATGATTCCACAGATGGGGCGGGGCTTTCTGTCACATGACAGACTACAAAACGTTTGATTGGCCACTGTGATGTAGGTTGACACAATGCTGTTCCTTGTGATTGGTTGAGTGTGAAGCTATTTGACGTTGTGTTCGGTGTGTGTTAAGAATTTGGTGAAGGGGGGGCGAATAAGTGTGGGTGGGTGGGGTCCTTCAGAAAAAAATGAAAGAAGCAAGGCCCATATTTTCTGGGAGTCTGTCAGTGTCGAGATTTCCAGCTTAGATGCTTAAAACGTATACTGACCATGAAAGTAATATTCAAATAAAAATGTTAGAGAGAAAATTATTGTACAAAATTTGAAATAAAACACAAATATGTTTTTGTGAAAGAATATTCATATAATTTTTTTTTGTATTGTATCTTATAAATGTTAGACAATAGTTTCCGGATAAACATGAAGAATTGCAGAGCAATCACATTTTACACTTAATTTGATCTCTGAACACTGTGTTTTTGCAAAGTGTGCAGCTGTGTTAGGCTACTTGATTTGCTCTTTTCTCCTACTTCCTGTTTACCCCACAAACCACAAATCTGAATGAATTTGCTTGGCTTAGAGAAGAGAAAGAGTATTGCAGTTGGGACACTTTTAAACAGACTCATTTGTCTTCCTTTTGGTCAGGGCAGCAGAAGGAAGCATTAAAGCATCCCTAAACAGTTCTATTGAGGTCTGTTTTTGACCATTATCTGGAACGGATTGAATGTTAATTGACAATTGGTTCCCCGAGATCTATAAAACAACAAAGAGAAATGAGGAAAAAATAGAAACATTATAGCCTAACAGAGCTTCTCCTCTCCTCTGTGCTGTTTTTGCTGAACCGTAGAGCTCTATGACACATTTCAGTAAATTATTTACAAAAGACAAACTCAAAATAGGATTCAGTCTTCCTCATATGAGCAATGAGCATCACTCCTCAAAGCTATCAGGCCAAATAGATTGTAAAACAGATCTGTAAAAATGACAGTCATCATCATTTACTCACCATCGTGTTGTTTCCAACCATATGATTTTCTACCTTCCATGGAAGACAAATGGGAGTTAGAAGACAGGAGTCACTTTTGTGACCACTTTTATGGATAATTGTCTGAAAATAGAGCATTCGTCAGAATGTAACCTTTTGTGTTTCATAGAAGAAAGTCATAGGACTGGAATGACATGCGTAAATGATAATTTGTGTGGGTGTTTGAAACTAAGGGGTCGTTATGACACCATTTTCAACTAAAAACAGAAAACTTACGTGCTTTGGCCGTTCAGTTACACAACAGCGTTTTGGAGGTGTGAGTTTTTTAAATAGATACCATTATCGTCTCTGTAACTATAAAAACGGTAAAAAATTTGTGACCAATGGTGACATCATTGCATTGTCGTGTAAACATACCCTAATTCTTCATAAGTAAAAGTTTACAAGACAACAATGTACTAAAAATGGAAAAGTTGTAAAATCGATCCCTGTTCACATGGATCCACGAAAACGACTAAAACCGCTGTGTTAAACACCAGGCGATAAATGGCCGACTGAACACGTAATTTTCCAAAACATTTTTTTTTTTTTGTAGTTTACATGGAGACAATAACAGTGTCGTTTTCAAAAACTTGCACTTTATAAAAAAATGTACGCTTTCAGGTATCCAAAACGCCATTGTTGTGTGAATTAATGGCTAAACGCATAAAAAGTTTTCCATTTTTAGTTGAAAACACTTTGGTGTAAACGGCCCATAAATCTAGGCTAAAAGACAGTATTTGATTTGGCTATATATTCATCTTTGAACAATTAGAAAGCAACATATTTATGTTAATCATTTTGGAAAACGAACTTTAATGAAAAATATTCATTCTTAAATTTTAGCTCATCTAACATTCTGTCCCCATATGCTCAAGTTTTGCATAATACTGCACTCATTTCTGTCTATTATGTTGTCTGTTGAAACCGCAATTTATAAGGATGTGGTAGACAGTGTGAAGGAAAATTAATCTCTTTCCTTTTCGCACACACACACACATTCATGTGCTCAGTAGTTATTTGCAGGGTTGATAAATTCGCTCCTGCTAAAGGATAATCCATAATGAAAGTGTTGCAGGTTTGTGCAGCAGAGGCTAGTTTCTGTCGTCTCCATGGTGATTTGACATAGATGTTCACATGTGGGCAAAAACATTTCACTGGGATGGTATTCAGTGCTGGAATTTATTGCTAAATTTAGGCAGGACATTTTCACAGTTATCTGGCTGACACCGCAGTGTAGAGACCGCATCATGAATTGTGTTTGGCAGAGTGTTATGAGGAAAAACTCACATTGAGTATATTTTATATTATATCATTACAAATGGATTTTTGGAAATTACAGTTGAATAAACCCTGACGCTGCTTTGTAAATCAATTTAAATTTGGATGACATGTAATTTTATGACCGAGGTCATACCAAAACACTGTTTGTGTGTGATCAGAATGATTGTTCCACCTTTTGTCACTGTCATCACGTGTGGAAATCTGATCTGCTATACTTGATTACCATGGCAACCTACCAAAGCCAGGGATTTAGGAGTATCCGTGCCACTAGGCGTGAGCTTTCACAAAAGCCTATCAATCAGCTTTAGCCAGAAGTGAATAATAAATAAAATCAGTAAACATTTTCAAAAATGTAAAAAAATAATATATATTGATCAAGTACGTACTTTATAGTTCACGAAAGAAGACAAGGGCTGCATCCAATCGTTTATACTCTCTTGAGCAGGTTATTTTGATTATTTTGAACCGCTAAAAAGTATGTTCTGTAGTATGAGTGTAGTATGAATGTAATCCGGACTTACTATTCGCCATTTTGTCATTATCATGTGACCTATCCTACCCTATCTCACGACCAATTCGTACGAATTCGTACGATTTGTCTAAACCCACGTGATGGGTAGGTTTAGAGGCGGGGTAAGGGGTAGGTCATTCGTACGAATTCATACGAATTGGCCAATTCGTAAAATATTTACGATTTAGACGAGTACGACGAGTGAGGTCGTATAAATTGTTACGATTTAGCCACCTCGTAAAATTCGTACGAATTCCCGTGAGATCAGGCTGGACCTATCAGCATCAGTTTCATTGCTTCACTGCTATTCACAAATCCTCTCCCTAAGTCTCATGGGACAGTTAACTGTCCATCATGCACACTTCAGAATCTCACAAGAAGAAGTACTGTAGGTCATCTGTGTACTTTTTCCCTACTCTTTTCTGAGCACTGTGAATTCAGACATACTTCATTTCACACTGTTTTTCACCTACTATGGCTAATAGGGAAGTATGCAATTTCCAATTCTTACAAATCCCACTGTACAGCGTGGACCTAATAAACTTGGGTGTGACATGTATGTAGACTGTACGTTGTTAATTATGACATAAAAAAACAACATTGCGCAGCTCTTTGTATTGATCTATCTAAAGCATTTGATACTGTGGATCACCAAAATACTAAAACAAAGACTTCTCAGTGTCGGGTTGTCAGAACAAACAGTTTGCAGGTTTGAAAATTATCAGGTAGATTGCAAAGAGTACAGGTAGATGGTCTAACCTCCAGCACTCTAAATATATCCAAGGGTGTGCCCCAGGGGTCAGTGCTGGGACCACTCCTATTTATATTATACATCAACATTCTTGATCGAAATGTCTCCAACGCTAATTTTCATTTCTATGCCGATGACACTGATATACTGCTCTGCTGCAACACCAAACCAAGCTCTTTGTCAGCTACAACTTGCTTTTGATACTGTACAATGTACCTTGTTTGATTTAAAACTTGTTTTGAATGATGACAAAACTATAAACTTATGTTGTTTTCCAATGCGAAATCAAAGCTACAAAACCTTCCATCCATTACTACTTCTCAGGGCTTCGAGATTGAGACTGTACACTCTAAAAAATGCTGGGTTGTTTTAACCCAATTTTGGGTCAAATATGGACAAACCCGAAATGTTGGGTTAAAAATGTAATGTAAAAATTTAACCCAACGGCTGGGTTAGTCCATATTTGACCCAAAGTTGGGTTAAAACAACCCAGCATTTTTTAGAGTGTATCCCAATACAAATATCTTGGTATTCTAATTGATGATTCTCTCTCTTTTAAACCTCACATCCAGCAGCTGGTGAAAAAACTGAAGCTGAGCTGGGTTTTTATTTTAGAAACAAGTCATGTTTCTCCTTTGAGTCAAAAAGAAGCCTTGTTGCTGCCACTGGGGTGAGAATGCGTTGTATATACATGCATGCATCCATTCAATGCTTGAAATAGTTGGAGACTGTTTACTACGGAGCCCTTAGGTTCATCACAAACTTTTAAACACCTACCCAACACTGCTCTCTGTATGATTGGGTTGGTTTGTCGGCATTGTCCACCGAAAACAGGTTGTTTATGTATGCGGCCCCAGCGCATGGAGTCAACTGCAAAATGTCTTGAATCTTCAGGAACCAGTTTCACTGGTTGCTTGTAAATTACTTTTAAATGACATAGAGGCTGCACATACTGGCTGTAGTTGTTATTAATTATTTGGATGATCCTTGCTTCTATGTTTTATATTTATGCTATACGTTAAATGTTTTTGGTAACACTTTAGAATACGGTTCCTTTGTTAAGGAATAACTAGTAACACTAGTAACACACTATTAACAATCTAGTAACTATTATTAACTAACAAAAGAAACTCTGATTAACAAACTAGTAAGTAATAGCGCATGAAAGAGGTAGTTACTATTAACTAATCAATAACTACTATTTTTCCCAGAGAACTACTGAAAAAGTCTATTAACAATCTAGTATTAACTAAAAAGAAACTCTGATTATGAGTTATTAAGTAATAGTGAGCAGATGAAATTGTTACTACATATTTCTGTGGAAATTACTAATTATTTGGATCTGACCATATGACCAACATTTAGGATCCATGAACACAGAAATCACCACGATTGGCTATCTTTTGTCA